CCGCGTTTCCCCCAAATCCATCCCTGTGGTCTCCCCGGCGTCTAGGCTAACGGGGTTCCGAGTGAGGGACCCCCCCCCCAAAGGCGGGTATGGAAGGTCCACGCACCCTCATGGTCACGGATCCCCTTTTCCGGGTCCGCATCCCGCACTGGACGGCCGTGGTGTGGTCGCCGCAGGCCCAGGTCAGGTTCTTCCTCCAGGGGTCAAAGGTGACGTGCAGGCTGGGGGCGGGCGCGACGGTCGGACGGCCTGAAGGACGAGGCGCCCAGGGTCAGAAACGACCGTTTTCATATATTTCTTTTTTACGTATTTAGTGTAGGGTGTCCTATTGACAAGTATTGACAAGTATTGACAAGTATTGACAAGTATTGACACATATTGACAGGTATTGACACGTATTGACAGGGATAGGGTGACCCCAAAATTCAGGCAAGATTTGAATTCTGAGTGAGCTTTCACAGCAGCAACAAAAAATAAATAAAAACCCAATTTATCGAATCGGATTCTAATATCTGCGGCCCTTGGATGTCAATCAATCCCTTCGATTCGATCAGCATCACCACGGACCCATGACGGCCCAGGAGCAGGGACCAGGAAGACCAATGGAGACCGCGGCTTTGCGTCTGTGCCAGCAGAGCCGGGGGCTCCATGGACCCGATGGGCTATTCCATTCATAAACCCTAGACTGTCTGCTTTATGAATCAATGAAAAATTATAATTTTTGTTGATAAATGCGTGTTTTCTATCAAAATTACTTCTTGCGTGAATTTTGGGACATTCTTTATATACACACTGTATACATATCCCATGTTCAAAGGCTGTTAAATTTCAACAAAAGAGTGTGTATGTGCTAGCAAAGCCGGGGAGGCCATTGACCCAATGGACTATTCCATCCATAAACCCTAGACTGTGTCCTTTATGAATCAATAAAAAATTTACAATTTTTAATGAAAACCCTGTGTTTTCTACCAAAATTACTTCTTGCGTGAATTTTGGGACATTCTTTATTTATATACACCATATGCCATGTTCAACAGCTGTTAAATTTCAACAAAAGATTGTGTATGTCCCAGCAAAGCCGGGGAGGCCATGGACCCTAGGTCCCATTCCATTCATAACCCTAGACTGTGTCCTTTATGAATCAATAAAAAAATTAAAATTTTTCTTGATAAGTACATGTTTTCTATCAAAATTACTTCTTGCGTGAATTTTGGGACATTCTTTATATATACACTATATACACATCCCATGTTCAAAGGCTGTTAAATTTCAACAAAAGAGTGTGTCAGTGCCAGCAAAGCCGTGGAGGCCACGGACCGCTGTGCTATTCCAAACAAAACCCTAGACTGTCCGCTTTATGAATCAATAAAAATTTCACAAATTTTAGTTATAAACCTGTATTTTCTGCCAAAATGACTTCTTGCGTGAATTTTGGGACACCCTATATATATGTGTAAAAAAAATTAAAAAATGAGAAATAAATGAATTTGAGTGGCAGGAAGGAGTCGCGCACGTAGCTGTACTTACCCCGGGGCTCCTGGGTCAGTAGACACACCGGTTCGAGCAGCGTCAGGACCAGGGCGGCTCTCACCAGGGGACCCATGGGGGGGTGGGGGCCGCCCCAGGGTCAGGGAGCTGCCTGGATGGAGAGAGAGTCACACTGTGAGCAAACCCACTCTCTCTCTGAACAGCAACGGAGCGCTGGCCGGTGTGGCTCAGTGGCTAGAGTGTCGGCCTGCGGACCGAAGGGTCCCGGGTTCGATTCCGGTCTAGGGCACGGACCTCGGTGGCAGGCTCCTCCCCGGCCCGGGCCCTGGTCGGGGGTACGTGTGGGAGGCAACCCATCGATGTCTCTCTCTCTCTCTCTCTCTCTCTCTCTCTCTTCCACTCTCTAAACATCAATGGAGAAAAAAATATCCTTACTCCTTGGGTGAGTGAGGATTAAAAAAAAGGGAAAAGGAAGATCAGAGGGGATTATGCTAATCAGAAAAGGAAAAAAAAGGAAATGACTGTAGCAGCTCTTCCGCCTCTACAATTGGAGGGGAGCTGTAAAGAGCAATCTCGAGTCTACAAGATCCCCAGAGGGCTGCTGGAGGAGGACTCACCAGGTGCTTCGGGGCAGAGTGGAGTACCAGGTCAGGGCCCCGGTGGGAGGGCACCTGGAAGCCAGGTTATTCTCCAGCGGGTGGGTGTGGAGGGAGGGCTGGGCTTGCACCTGCTGCAGAGGAGCCCGGGGTGCGGGGAAGAGCACTGCTGGGCTCTGAGGACCCCGGGACAGTGAGGGCGGCGCTGGGACAGGATCCTGGCCCCCAGCCACTCCTCAGGTCCGGACCCCTGACCTCTCTGCCGAGTTCCTGTCACACAGGGGACCCTGGAGGATTCGTGCACCAGTGGGGTCCCTCGGCCTGGCCTGCGCCCTCTCGCCATCTGGGACCCCTCGGGGGATGTCGGGGAGCCGGTTTCACCCCGATCCCGCAGGCCAGGCCGAGGGACCCACTGGTGCACGAATTCATGCACCAGGACTTCTAGTCAATCAATCAATCAATCAATCAATCAATCAATCAATAGAAATATAATAAAATAAAGAGAGAACCAGAATGGGCGCCCGCGTTCAGGCACGTGGAGGGTCGAAGGAGGGAAATGATGGTCAGTTCTCCGGGGGTGGCCAGGCTGCCCGCCCGAGATGCAGGGGAAGCTACTCACCCTGGACGTCCAATCGGAGGCCCCGTCTTTCTCTCTGTCCCAGGGTTCGGGGGGCGGCCCGGCCCAGCCACACCCTCTCCCTGGCTCTCGTTTCATTTCTCTAAAGTCCCCCCCTCCTCCTCGTACACACCCCCGTGGCTTCTGCATTCCACTCCCCACTTCCCACTTCCCCGTCCACCTCCCGCCCACGTGGACTCGCCCGTGAGTACCTGGAGGGGAAGGGGGTGCAGCCAGGAGCCAGGAGCCCACAGATACAGGCAT